AACCAATGTGCAACATGGAGAAAATAGAGTATGAAGATTAATTCAAAGGTTTCCAGAAAGCACATAATCTATCATTGGAAAGAGTTCTAAGTTAGGAGTCTAATGCATTATATGAATCTCAATGAAAGCTTTTTTCTACAAAAATGTTTATGCATTTCTGCACTAACTATTATGAAAAAATGGGTGTTGACACAAGGGGCCAGGTGTCGACATGTCGGGGAGGTAAGAATTGCTCTAAAATTCACTTAATATGCTCAAAATATGGTTTAAGAGGATCAAATAAAAAATGTCAAGGTAGAATGAGAGTGTGTGTCTCACACATGTTCCATTTATGTGTGTTGTGCACAATTCACATGTCAACATGAAGTGTACATACAAAGCTAAGTGTTGGTATATAAGCTATAATGTGTTGACACGTGCCCCAAAGAATGATGATTATATATAAAACAATGCAAACTATTATCGTACATCACAAGATGTTAGTTGTTTGTTAGTCTGACCCAAGATTGTGGAAATATAAGAGTCTTATTGTTGAAAGAAAAAATCATTTTTGTTAGGTAATGAAAACAAAACAGTGCTGTAAGGTACGATAAATCTTTTTAGCGATACAACCTCTATTGCAATTAGGGAAATGAATTCTAATGCAATAGAAAAATGAGATAGAAATGGAGTTCAAAAGGGAAACTTATCTTTCTTAGAGGACTTTTCTCAAAAGTACCAAACCATGCAATTATCAATGATTTATGTAATGGAAAGAATACGACAGTCCATTTTCTTTAGAGAATGAGAGATTATTATTATTGTTTGCTAGAGGGAGCAAACGAAATTGCCCATGCGCATGAGCACGTGCATGTGTGCATTTTGTTCCAGTATTGTGAGGAATGTACACGAGAAGGGAATGAAATTTGATGTCTGTGGTGAGTCGGTCATCGAAGAGAGAGTGAAAAGAGACTGTTGCGGAATCTTTTCAATTTAAAATATCGCAAGTGCATGATTAATTAACAAGTAGTAAAATAGATTTTGAATTAAAATATCGTACCCACATGGATTATACTAGTTTAAATTCAAATTTACTTGGCTTTATTCAAAACTATTAAAATTTGCGATTGTCTAAAACTAAATTGTGACCACATAAATTACGTATGAATTCAAGACCTAAAATATTTAGAATCAATGCAAGGTTATAATTAAATGTAAGTTTTATAAAAATATGATTGTAAAAAGCGTACTGGAATCCCAAATCTCCTTATATCGATCACATTTAATCTTGAACTTTATGAATTTGACAAACACTATTCAATTATGAAGATTAATCATATTTCGTGAATTGTTTATAGATTTGTATGGAATTAGTGGAAGTTCTATAGGTTTTCATTTTAAAGCTTTTATAGAATTCAAAAGATTTTTGAAAATTTTCATTTGAAATAAAATTTATGTGAATTTAGTATAATAGTGTGAAATTCTCACATACAATTCCCCTATCCTTTCTCTTTCATTTTCCTCCCCATATATTAAAAGAATATTTTGAAAAGAATAAAAATTTAAGACCTTAATTGAACAAATAATAATCAAAATCATAAACACGATAAAATAAATAAATTTAATATTCAATATTATTAATATAATATATCTTTAAAGAATAAATAGAAATAAATATATTTAATTTTTAATTATAAATTATTCTATAATAAAATTTTATAATTTAAATAAAAATAGATATTCTTTGGAAAAATGAATGAAAAAAGACAAAAAATGGTTTGAGAATCCAATTTATTTTTCGTAGAAAATAGAGACAAACAATGAGAGAAAAATAGGGAAAAAAATCAATAGAAAAAATAAATTTTAATCATTACTTTAATGTTCGTAGAAGGGAAATAAAAGAGAAATATTGAAAAAGAAAATATATATTAATTTTCTTCAATCTTTTTGTATTGAAAGTCTCCCAAAATTATGTGATTGATGAGATACCAATTTTAAGATTTTCTTTTAGTACTTTCTATTTAAAAGTTAGTAGTTTAGAAATTTTTTATAAAAAACTCTAAAAGTCGTTAAAATTTGAATATCCCAAAACTTATAAAAACTTATAATTGAAAACACTGTGATTTTTATAGACTATTTAAAAGTCCATAAAAGCAATGTCACATTGAATACCCGAATATTTTTAGAAAATTTCTAAAAGTTTATATTGAATACGCTTGAACTTTTTAAATTCTAAAAATTTATTAAAAATCTCAATTGAATAATTTTAAGAGGCCACTTCTTTAATTTCAAACGGGGCATCTTATTATTATTGTTTTAACTCACGTCAATTGCCAATTAGGAGTTCAAAGAATCCAACTCCTTTTCAATTTCACTCCTATTGCAAATCCAATTTCAAAGTCCAACTAAGTGTTACATTCCTTTCAAGACCTTCTTCCAAATAATGCAAGTTAATCCTAGATACAAATTTATTTATGCAACCCATGTCCTTCTCAAATTCTGACTTTTGGAATTTGACCCAAAAATTGTAGATTTTATTCGATTTTGTCACTCTTCCTTTTCAATTGTTTAGAAATGAATCTAACACTAAAAGAAAAGAAAATCAGTCTAAGTGAAAATTAACACTAGACAACATAAAATTTTAGTAATATAACCCAAATGAAATGCACTTATCAGAGAGAAACTAGAAGAAGAAACGGTATACATGGATTGCGGTGTACATTACCCTTTCGATCCTTCTCCTTGGGGCTCTCGCCAGTTTTTGATTTTTCAATTAACTCGCGTGTTCATCCCTTCATTTTATATACAAAGAAGTGGTCTCTCCTTTATAGCTTCAATTTTACTAGCAATTAATGTACTTTTCATCCAGGTTACTATACTTTTATAAATCAAGCTACTCGTACAAAAATGTTTTTACATCACCTCAACATCTGTAAAAAAATAAAAAATAACAATAAAATAAAAATTGTATAAGTAGCATCTTTGTGCTTTTATTTTGTATCAAATTGGTTCACTCAATCCAACCCCTGCATTAATTAATGTCAAACGCTAACATAGACATCAATATTAATGCCTATGCTACATGTCTCATTTTGATGCTAAACTCAACACTTTCGATTGTGGTAGCGATTGTGTTGGCCAATTTTTGTTTTGATATAATCTTCAAATTTATTTCAAAATCCAATTCGAGATAAAAATATACTCAATTCAAGAACTTTTTTTTTTTTTTTTTGGCTCTTTGCATTTGAAAAACATCTAATAATTTCATAATAATTCAAACAAATTTTTAAAAATGTGTTTGGGGGTGAAATGTAATGTCCCAATTGACATAAATTGATATTGGTCGAATTTGAGATAAAATTAGAGTAACTTGATCAGTCGAAATTGAATTGTAGAACCAATCGAAAGCGATCGCTTGCGAACTAAAAGTAAAAATAAGACCCTAGCTAGAGATGACAATTTACCACGTCTCGTTCCGAATGGGGCAAAAAAATCCGCCCTGACGGGTTGATGCGGCGGGGCAGGGCATGGCATAATTCTCTGCCCCGTCATGGGTCATGAGGCGGGGCGGGTTCGAACCCACAGTATATATTTTTTGGATATTGATTTCTCGAGTGTTTTCTTGAATATTGATGTTAATTTGAGCATTATTTGTTTTGAATTTTAAAATTTTGAATTTTTATTTTATAATTTAATAACATAACTCGAAATTTTGAAAATGTGTAAAAAAAAATAATTTAAATGGGGAAGTAAACGGGGCAAAAAACTGCCCCGACCCGCCCCCGCCCCGTTTAAGGTGGGGTGGGCTCCAACCCCGCCTTGAACCTGCCCGGTTGCCATCACTAACCCTAGTGTTTAAGGTTTTGTTCGGTAGTAATTATGAAAATTGATATTTTGAATGTTAGAGAGAAAAGTGAGTCCTATCTATGAGCAGGAGTGGACATTTTTTTCCGGCAATTGGTGGAATCGGATTGAAACCACTTAGAACCAGTAGATTCGGTTCCGAATCTTCTAAAAAATTATTTTATTTTGGGACAAATTACTAAGAATTTCGATCCGATTCTAGTATGGGAACCGTCGGGAACCAGATGATTCTCATATGATTTTTTTTCTAAATTTTTTCTTTTTTTAGCAAAAATATATGACCCAGTCTCCAATCACTTTTATAAAAAATAATCGGGTTTCTTCTTCATTTTAGACTCCAACACTTTCCTTCCTTTCTTTAATTCTCTCTTATAATTCTTTTATTAATTGATTCTCAAGTCAAATTAGAGTATGAGGTAAATCTATACCTAAATAAATTTATTTACAATATATAATTTCATTTCTAAGATGTGAAAATTTTATTTTGTTTTCACTTTGATAATATAGTTGTTGATCCGATCGAAACTTTTCATCTAAATTTCTATAAATTATAACCAACAGAACGAGAAGTTGCAAAAAAAATTTAATGGGTGTCCAATTCAATGTAGGATTTTGATTTTGATTTTGATGGAAATTTGTTTAATCATTGGAGTACTGTGCAACTTATATAAGTTGATGATTGCTTGATGATGGTAACTTATATTATTTCTATATTGTATTTAAATTTGTATATTTAATTTTCTTTTAATCTTTAGAATAATACGTTCGGTTCTTCAATAATTTGTTAAAAGTATCATGTTAGTAGCCTCTTTAGATTTTTTATTAGTGAATATTTTATTTTGACATTTTTAATGTAAAGAATTGGATAGGATCGAACTGGAACCAATTACTTCAGTTCCGATTCGATTCCGTGGCTAACTATGAAACTAATGGTTCCATTTTTAAAATTTCTATTGCTATTCGGTTCGGTTTGATTTCCTTTGAAATTAGACTGCCCCCACTTCTATCTATGAGAGAAGAAATAAAAAATACGACTAAAGTAATAAAATAACGGTGAAAAATTAATTTTTTGAGACGAAAAATCAATTCCACACGTGAACATAATTTGGTCTTACGCAGCCAGGATCCGTCTGAAGGTGACCCGACCCACTCTATAACTCGCAAAAGCAAGTTCTGGTTCTTGTTCTTTTTCTTCTTCTTCTTTTCATTATATCCTTTCTTGGTAAGGGTTTTATATACAAGAACTAGAAATTCACAATCGTGAAATGAAATTGGAATTGCGCTCGAACCCTCTTCAGTAATCCGGTAAAGCGACCATTTTTTTCTCCTTTTCTCCCCTTAAACCGCAACCAGAGAACAAAGAACAAATGTTTCTCTGGAATTGTTCTTAATATACTAATGTATTTTTTTCTTTAACTTTTTCAGCTGACATGAAGTAGAGTTAAATAAAAAGAAATAATGTTTGAAGGATTGGTGAGGCAGTTGATTTTGGGATATCTGGGCCAATACATTAAAGACATCCAAAAGGAGCAGCTCAAGATCACTCTCTGGCACGGTAATTATTCTCCTTTTTAATTAAAAATCCATCTTTTCTGAGATGTTACTGAAAATATTTACCAGTTGATAGGAATTTGAGCTCAATATTTGACAGCCTTTCTTTTGTGCGGTTTTAATTTAGTGGATAATATTCTTAAACCCACAAATGATTGTTCTTCTCTTTTTCCATTTTTCAATATAAATATCAAACGCGAGTTTTTCACTAAATACTAACTGCGGAGTGAAATTTTATTCATTTTCAAAACTGCAGAGGAAGTATTCCTGGAAAATGTGGAGCTGATTCTTGAAGCTTTTGACTACCTTCAGCTTCCATTTGCTCTCAAACAAGGTGATTATTTTGTGGACTCACTGATGAAAGTGATCTCCCAAGGATTTTACTGTCATGCCTTTAATTTTCGATATATAAACAACATGTGCAACATATTATTTGATGTGTTCCACTATATTCCATGTATGTTGTCGGTTCTGTTTGCACTTCTTGCATTTACTAAATAGACTCGGATGCAAAAAAAACCATGGGGAAATAGTGCTTGCTGCTATTTTCGTTTGATGAATTTCTTATCTCATAATGCTAAACCTCTTGGTGTATTTCCTTAAAGAAAAAAGGAGCTAAAATGGATCCGAACTACAAGCTACGAGGGAAAATTGACAAATAATATGTAAGTGGCAGGTCGGCGGACCAAAAGTCTTGTGTTAATCAATGTCCAGATGATCATGTTTTCATATGGTTCCTTCTAATTGATTGTGATTGAGATCAGGATTTCTTGCTAATGGAAGAAAAATTTCCTTTTTCTTCTCCTTCTATTTGCCCTTCAAGACAAAAGATGGGATAAATTGTGTGAATTTTGAGATTCTAATTTCAGTAGTCCCTTAGATGTGAAGCAAATTACATTTTGTTCCATCTTTGACTAGAGATTTCGCTATGAATAATACGAACGGAGGTTTGAAGTTGGGAGGGGGAAAAAAGAGCAATTAAACTAATGTCTCTAAGATCTTTTTCAATGGCCTGTGTTGGTTTGAAGGGATATCTATCTAATGTGATATATTGTAGATGGTTGTATTTCTTACTACCTACCCATGTTCTTCTAGCTTGTGGCTACTGTAGGATGTAGTGTCTACTCTAGGATTTTGCTAGTAGTGCATATTGGGGTTGCGCACATTGTTGCTAAGATATACATCGACTGTTGTAATGAGGGTTTCATGTAATCTAGTTTGGTAATCGTCTCCTTTGAAATCCAATGGAAGTTGCACTTGTTTTTTATGGTTTACATGATTTAGGGAGAGAGATAGAATGGAATTTTTTATATGAATATACGCAAGTGAATCTGATTGGGGATAGTGTTGTCGTTCTTCGTCCAGTCTGAGCTTGGACATTGGTGGCTTTGTCAACACCTCATCAACAGACTTTTGAAGGGTTTGGAGAGTAGTTCTTAGTACTCTCTCTTTTTGTATATTGAAGGCTTTACTATCCTCGTCATATTTTAACTTCCTTAAGTTCTATTCTGCCACACGTTTTCCACAACGTGGTTTATACCGCAAGTGTATGATGTCAAGTTTTGTAATATGGTATGAAAGTTAAGAATGTCAAACCCTTAGGGATTGTAATTTAATTCTCACTAAGTACTATAATTGTATAATTTCTACTTTATTCAGATAAATGGATGATTGAATGGATGTTTTGAACTAATGTAATGTGATTCGTGGTGACAAAGTTGATGAATGCAATTTATCAATATGAGAAGGCCTAGGGGTTGATTTCACCTTACTCTCAACTATGATTCAACGATTTTCAATTATTCCAGTTAATTTTCCCATATTTAAAAGCAAGAATCCTAATATATTTCTCTTCTATCTCTCGATTGCTAGCTAGAAATTAATCTTAGATTCCAATTCCAATATCTCTATTTCAAATTGAAAATCAAGAATTTATAAAAGTCCCGATTTTTTATGGAGTAAGCTTCACAGATTTTATACTTTCTCTCGAAACTCATAAAACCTATGTTGTGTCAATCTTATGATCATGCCTAAATTCCCCTCCTCGAGTGCTGACTAACATTTATTCATTCAATTATTGATCAATTAATTGAAAGCATTAAAATCATGACACAATTAAATATATGCGAGAAAATAAAAAAATAATTATAAAATCATCAAACCATAAACTCAAGTCGGCTACATCAGACCCCTAGATAATTTGTTTAGATCATGATGTAATATATGAAATTCATACAAATTATAATAAACGACATAAGGAAAAGGATAGAAAAAGCTAGTTTTTTTGGGTAGATCTTCAATTTTCTTCCTTGATGTTGTTCTTTTTTCCTTTTGGTATCTTCAATTTTTGTCTCCTTCAAATTGTGTGGTTGAATTCTTCAATCTTGTCCCCTTCAATTGTTGGAGAAAATAGGTCTTTTGAATGATATTTATAGTATCTTGAAGTTCTTGGACGAAATAGGGTTGAGTTGGGCCAAGAAAAGAGTCCAAAAACATAAAAAACACTTTTCCCTCATAGTCGAGGCGCCGTGCTCACAGATGATTTTCAGCGTGGTGGGCGCTATGGCTCTCGCTTTGGGTGGAAAGACTGCACCATGCATCCTTTAATATTTTTATCATAACTTCTTCGTTTGATGGTTGATTGAGGCGATTCAAAATGCGTTGGAAAGCTAACTCAAAGGGCTACAACTTTGCTTCAGATATCATTCTCCAATTCAATTGTTTGCTATGTCAAAATTGTCTCAATATGAGACTAAAACTCCGGAGCATAACTTTTTCGTTTGGGAATTGATTTGTGATCATATTTTTACTAAATTTGATCCATTTGACATCTTTCTTCATCCAATCGACTCATAGCACTCTCGGATCTTCATTTCGAGGTTAGGCACAAGTTTTGATTATTTGCATTTTAGTTCCCAAACTCTGGATCTCTTACAATTTGGCCATTTTCTCCCATTGCGTCAACTTTTGCTTAATTCTTTCAATTTCATCAACCTACATCACAGCATCAAAACGCTCTAAAACACTCTCTAGGGTAGCAAAATAATGAATTAAATGGCATAAATATCATGAGTGTAGAGCCCTCATCATATTTATAAGTTCATTTTGCATTTGTTCGACGGAGCTCCTTGCCTGCGAGGATACATGACACAATAAGAGACTATTTTTTTCTGCAGTCTGATTAAGAAGCAGAACTGTGAGGATTAAGAAGCAGAACTGTGAGGAAACCCATTTTGCACTTTGGTTAGTTCTTGGCCAGTAGTTAGCGATTGTTAGCCTTTGGACCATGCTGGTTTCATTAAATGGGTTCCAAATGGTATAGTTGGCTTTGATGGCATGCATACTAGGATCTTGTCTTTTTCTAGATGAATTATTCGAAGATATATAGCTCTTATGTATTCCAAACTTCTTGCTGTTTATGAAATTTTAAACGAGGTCAATTTTACAAGTGAGAAAACCCTAACAATGAAACGAGAAATGAGATAGTGCAACTTCTCGCTTGAAATGATCGAAGTGAACTAGATACATATATTTTCAAATATTTTGCAGGTGTAAACTATTTGAGAACACATTTAAATGAGACACTTATCTCCAATGCTTCAAACAATTCTAGTGATAGGCATAGGTCATTTCCAGCTCTCGAGTAAAGCTACTGACTTTACAGTTGAGCTTGGAAGGAAGAGAGTTTTACTGGGAGTTAGGGATTAAGCTTCAGCCCTATTAAACTTCAGATTGACATTGCTGATGCATTGATCACCATGGTGGTACATCTCTATCTTTATTTCAGGATATTAAAGTTATTTTTGTTAATTTAGACTAAAGAGGGCGCAGCAGTACATATTTCCAAAAGTTTCACTCCCTATTACTTTCGGGTAAAAACGAGACATACCTGTAGAAAAATCAATGCAAGGAAAGGGCCTTTTGTATGGGAGCTAGAGGAAAACTGCTTTGAGCAAATAACCAACTGATCTATCCTTCGAGAATTTGCCACTTTAATCTGTTGCACAAAACACAGGCATATGGGACCATTACCCAATTTAACCCCCTCCATCTTCTTTGGATAACACTTTAGATTCCCAAAAATTCATTTCATTCCCTCGAACAGGAAACAAACAAAACTTCAGTTTTTTGCCCTTCCTACTTTCAGAGGTAGCTGCAATTGCCATAAGGTCTTTTCCTGATGAGATCATTACCAGTTAACATAGCTTCCTCTGTCTCTTCTGAATTGGGAAAACCATGAATACTAATTTCCTACTCTAAAACTTGTGTGTGTTCATTTTTATTTCTCATGAGGATGTATTGAGAAATCAAACAAGTGTGCTAGCAGTTTTGTGCATTCGAATTCTACTAATACATTTTTCACTAGTTTCAATTCAAGGTATTGCTAGTTGAAATGTCCGTTCATTCATATTTGAGGTCGTTGTATCTGTCTGATTCATCATTGCTTGTTTCCTTGGTTCTTCATAAAAATCTTGCACATTCTCTATACTATCATTTTCCTCTTTATCTTCACTCCATATAATGCATTTTTTGTCTTGTAATGAATTCATGGTTTGAATTTTAGGTCGGGTTGGGAAGTTGAGCATCAAAATTCCATGGAAAAAGCTTGGCTGGGATCCCATCATAATCATTTTAGAGGATGTGTATGTTTGTGCCTGCAACCGGGATGATGAAGAGGTAATTTATTATTATTATTAATGAACGTGAAATTATTCTGGTGCTAATGGAACTTTGGAACAATGATGTTTTAGTTATGTAGACATGGTTCATATAGTTGAAATTTCTGTAGTCAAAGAATCTCTCCATCACTAGGGTCATCAACCAGAACATCTTCCTATAAAGCAAACATTAACCAAAAACCATCAATTAGTGAATAAGCAACCAATCAAACCCTAACATCAACCAAAGATCATATAAACAAATTCGCCACTGAATCCATTAACAGAAACAAATCCTGAACTACCTCTATCAAATCAACCTAACACCTCACTGGGCTAGGTAAAGTGATCCCTTCACGATGGGAATATATACAAGAACTGGGATAGTGCATTGTAGTTGAAGAATAGTATACTTGAGCAGCGAAACTTGACTCATCTAGATCTGGAATTACTTTTCATTGATTAGCTTGACAGCTATATTGATTGGGCTTCTCTTCGGATGTGATAAATTATTTAGTTAATATAGATTTTATATCTGCACGATAGTTGTAATTTGAAACATCTTTGTAAATTACTATGTTTCCCATAACTGAAGCAACTAATTCAGAGTTTTTAATGCAATTCCTTCTCCCGTTTATTCCTTTATCTGTTGAGCTATCAGCCTATTTTATTTCTATTTGAGGCAGTGGGGCATGGATGCTGTTGAAAGAAGAGAATTTGCTAGCAAAAAGGCCAAACTTGCTGCTGCAGAACTTGCTAAGTTATCGAGACGTGTTTGTGGTAAGTAGTTCCATTGTTCTTCATGTACTTGTGATCATCACCCATCACTCATCACCATCTTGTTTGAAATGTCAGTGCAAATTGTGATTGAACTTGTGTTTTATACACAAAAGAGCCTAATTTTGACTTTTCTATGTGTTATCAATTTGTGTGTTTTGTTTGTTTACATCTAGTTGTCATTTTTAAAATTGTCAACATCATCAGAATTGTATTCTAATGAATGTCCCTTCAGAATTTGTCTACAACTTGTCAGTAAATAACAGCTCTCTTTCATGTATTTTCATAGTCAGGGGAAGCAGTGCTTCAGTTCTGTTGGTAATGTGCCTAGGGACGTTTTTATGAGAAGCAAAACTTAGCCCGTCTTTGAGCGGCATTCTAAAAAAATTCATTTTTCCCAAACTTATTTTTCAACCACACATCCTCTCTATAAATAGTTTACATGTAAACCCAAAATTTTGCCTACTTCTTAACTACACTTTCTCCAAAAGAATCACTATTACAAAACCTATTCTTCTGAAAGATGGGGATCAAACAAACCTTCAATAAATATATATATATATATTCTTTGCAAATCAGGGTTAACATTTCACTGATTCAATTGAAAAATCGGGAATCTATTAGAAGCATAATTAAGAAATTGTGTTAGAATATATAAATTACACTAATATGGGTCATTAAAATGATGTTTTTTGTGAGGTTGCTTATATTTGGGATGCTTATCCTGGGTCATAGTTGCAGTTAGATTAATGCAGATGAAATTTTGCATTCACTGTTTTGTGTTGGTTGCATCCATTCAGATTTGAAGTTGATCAATTCAATTAGTGGAACAATAGAAGTTCAATTCCTTTTCAACGTTCACTTGTTTGTTTTCATTGATGCTCAAGTAACGGCTTATTTCTTTTCAGACAACCAGGCTGGGAATTCATTTATTTCATACATCACTGCGAAGGTAGCTGGTCGATGTTGATTAATATTACCTCACAGTTTTTCTTTTCTATTATTAGAAATATATATATTTTTTCTGCATTTCATTTATCTATCTCGAGTGGATCAATGTGTGTAAATTAAGAAATGTTTAATGGAGGATTATACATCTAAATTTAATCCATAGAAGCAACTGATAGTTGGACACAAAATATATCCAGTACCAAAACTCAAGTAAACTGGGATAAGGATATAAGACTTACTCAAACAGTTCAAACTTGAATGGAAATTCAATCCTAGAAGATTCATAATGACCATTTGTCACTTGAGCTGTGCTACAATGGCTAGAAACAAATATAGATTTATGAGTTCTTGCAGTTGTTATATATTTTCTAATCTTCTCTCCATCTCTATGCCCAGATTCTTGACAACATCCAAGTATCCATCAGAAATGTTCATGTCTTGTACCATGATACGCTGATGGCAATGGTATTTCTTCCATTAAAGAATTTATGCAATTTGGTCCTTCTCTAGGCACTGTTATTAGTATTAATATATCATGATTATTCATGAATTTTTGTCAATTTATTTTCTTGAGTTGGAGTGAAGTTTAGGCTTCTGAAATGTGACCTAGAAAGTTTGGTAGCATTTTTCGATAAGGGAAGTGTTATGCATCAATTTTCTGGAAACCCACAAATGTAGCTTCTTTTGGAACTATGAAGTTAACAAATATTTTCATGTTAATGAAATTTGTATGTGGCAGTTGTGATTTGCTAATAAATCAACCTCTATTCAGAGTTTTCCCTTTGTGTCCATCTTGCCTTCAACAGCCTTTGACTTATATGTCGTACTTCCTGTGGTTTTGCTTGCGCCATTTAGTAGCGCGCATGTTACAGAACCTTGAAGAACTATCAAATTTGGAAGATTGTTTATGCTATCTATATTTTGAAGAGATTTCGATTAAAATTGCTTCAATCGCCTAAAATCACTCCTGTCATTTACGACATCTTTAATATACAACGAAAATAACTCCTCAGATGAGGGAGAGAATAAAGGAGAACATGAAGCGTTAAATCCTGAGATATTCCAACAAATCTAGGTGAGAATAGTGGAGGAAATGAAGCCTTAAAACCTGGATATTCCAGCCTTTACTCTCATGTTATCACGATGTATATTTTTCTCCCACAAATGTATTTGTCGAAAGTTGTATGAGTTCAGAACAATTGTACTCTGTTATGTTTGATGTTTTCCAGGCAATCACCACATTTGGTTTAAAGTTTGAAAGTCTGACAATTATGAAGCAAAATCCTGCCGGGTATACTTCCTCCAAAACATTATTTACACTGCTTGTTTATATCCATTTCTAATGTCTGCATTGTCTAGACAGACCTTTTGCTGTTCTATTGACAAATTATGTGGACCTCTAATTTGGCCATGGTTTGTTGTTGTATTCATAACATGGTAATATTATTGTTGCTTTTGCCAAGGATGCAAAATTTTATTCATATAGAGAAGAAGTGGAGGATACTCAATGTCATTGAAATAAAAAAAAATGAATTCTGCATGAAAAGATGTCCTTCATGCAATAGAATGTAAAACAATTTAAATGGAGCCCTTTATCTCCATTGTAATTCTGTGACGATCTTGACAGAAGGACAAACAGCCTTACCATGCCAATTTTAGCTGGCTTGATTCTTCATTTTGTATAATGATATATATATATATATATATATAATTTTTTTTAATTTTTAATTTTTTTACAACTTGAAGCAAACTTTTTATTATGTAAAGAAATATACTTAAAACTTTGAGTTAATATTTGGATAAATTTAATTTAAAAAATTCAATATTACTATAAAATTAAATATTATCTGAAATTATTAGATATATCCTAGACTACTTTATCAGTCATCTAGAAAGTGACATGATTCTTGTACACTTGGTCACTTTTAGATATTGTGTAGAAAGCTTCGAGAGTTGATGCAATATAAATTATTTTCACCATTTCCAGCTTCCCAGTTCTGTAGTTACTAGTTTTCATCTTTTGATCCATGTGTAATCTTTTTTCAGATCTTCTATTTCGAAAGTTAGAGGGGTTCAAGTTAACAAACTGGTTGAAGTTCAGGGTCTAGAATTTTATTTTAATACTATTCAAGGAGTTGACGATGTGGGTTCAGATAGCCTTGCAGAGTCCAAGCTACAGGATAGTGATATCTGTATGTTAGCTCCATTGGATGTATCTATGTCTCTGTCGGTAAGCACATTCTGGTTGTGTTATATTGGTCATAAATGTTAACTTGCAGACAATTAGTGCATGATATGTGTTGCCTGATGAACAGAAGTAAACAGTGACTATGACAATTGGGCCAATAAATTTGATTTGGGACCAGGAGCTCATAATTTTAGGATTATAGGCAAATAATTAAACATCCACAATCAAAGAAAGGAACTATAGAAAGAAAAGGAATACTTAGGATGTCAGAGAATCTAGAACTGTCATAAAATGACAAAGTTGACGAAAGAAAACCACAACCTAAATAACAGAGCAGATCGGAGAATTATTTTATTTGATTTTGTATACTTTGTTTAATGCTGCGGTTACTAATCATATAGAAGAGCTGTCTAACTTCATGTTGTTTCTTTCTTGTATAAATTGATAATATGATTAATAAAATTATATGATTACCTATCAAAAAAAAAAAAAAAAAACTGTCATAGCCATCATAGTATTTTTGTTGGCTACATGAATATTATGTCCTCTCTCCTATTTGGCTATAACTTTTGGCTTAGCACTAAAGTAATAAAATATTGATTGGCCTTTTCCTCTTCTGCTGAACTGTCTGATTGGATATCTTTCAGTACTAATGCTGTAGAGAACATCTTTTCCAGTCTTGCACATTCTTTTCATTTTGATTCTCATTTTCTCTGTGAGATAGGTAGGATATAAGAGATCGAATTTGTTAGATGTTTCCCATCTCTCAATTACTCGATATCGTAGCATTCTTTTGTAGGTGAACAGGTCAGGGAAACTTGAGAAAGATGCTCCACAGTATACCATCAATGTTGATTTCACTCGGGTGGTTCGTTTGTAGTTCACTGGCATTTTTGAGCAATGAGTTTTTTTCTAATTTTTTAGGAAACTTTTCATTGATTAATACCGTTTAGATGCCACTTTTGTAGGTCATGTCTATGAATGAGGTTCAGCTTCAGTATATCTTGACTCTGTACGATTATCTAGCTTTGTGTCAATTGAGAGAGACGTAAGTTCAGTTAACGTTATCATTTTTAGCCTCAATACTTAATCCGTCGACTCTTATGCTGTTAATAGTGTTTCTGAAACTGAAATTGTAAGCTGCATCTTTAATGCTTCCACAATTTTTAAACACTTTTTAGAAATTGGATTATTTAAATTTTGCTTTCATTGTTCTGAATTCAAGACTAAACTTGGTTGTTACTGAAGCTCATGTCTGAAAGTAATAGCATCTTTCGTTTAGTTTCGACTATTCTTACTGATTTGCATTTTTTTGCAAATTGAATATGTGTAGTTCACGTTATTTTACCCACGAAGTAATTTCTAAAGTATCAATATCTATAGTCAGTTTACTCATAAAAATGATCAAGATTGCCAAACATAAGCAGAAGTCTTGACAGTAAGAGGTTCTTTTAGCACCTGAAGTTATGAAGTATTGGGGAACTCAAAAGAGAGGCTAACCAAAAACCAAAGAGAGGTAAATCTAAAAAAAGTTGACAGCTATAAACAAAAAATTGTTCCTTGATTGCATGTAAATGATAAATCTTGAATTCTTCAACCTGTGTTCGGTACCTGAACTCTCTGACCAAAGACAACAATTAAATAGACTAAGAACCAACATAAAACTTTGATTAGGAAAATAGAGAACTTGAAATTCCCTCATTCCCATCCCCTTCTTCTTCTAACACCACCTATCCTTATGCACGGGAACTCCATCTTTACCAAATCATGGAACCAGGAAGTCGCTTAATGAATGTTATTTGTCAACGACGTAGTTCTAGTTGACAAGTTGGAATTCTATGATATACCGATACAACCCAAGATCTTAAAATTGGAATAAGTTTGGCCAACTAGATTCTTCTGATAGGAAGATGGACCTCAACAGTAGAGAATGCTTCACTTTTTCTTATCTTCTTCCCACTTGAGAAGAATCAGAGAGGTGAGTAGGACAAAAAGTGCCAAACATTGGGAAACTACCTGGGGAAGAGTTAGGAATAGGAACAAGGAGAAGTGAGAACCCCCAGAGCTACTCCCCTAGTTGTTTCTGCGACCATGCCAAACACGAAAATAATACGAGTTTTGGACGCTATTGAAAAAGCATTGCAGAGGGCGATAACTAGTACTTTTGGCTTCCCAGAAGTGAACAAAAGATGCGTGGCGATACCCGCAAAAACCTAAGGACTATTCGCTCTTTGGGGTTGGGCCTTTCGTACTAAAATTTGTATGGGGAAAGGACAATTATTAAGTTCACTAAAATCAAGTTGATGGGGTCAATATTCTTGAAAAGCCAGGAAATCGCTAAAACCACAAGGTTTTAAATAGAAAATAACATAGAAACATAGGATGTCCTTTTAATGATAATTGAATAAGATAAAATGGAGTGAAAATAGATCATTATGTGCTAAAGAGTGGTTGTTTAGGTATTTAGACTTGATGATTAGAGGAGGAGGACTTGAAGAAGATGTAAAGTGAAGGAATAGAGTCGATGTATGTGATCTAAGATACTTTTCAAATTAACAGAAAAGAAAACTTTACAGAATGGTTAGCAGACCAATCAGGCTTTATGGAACCGAATGTTTGGCCACTAAAGGATAAATGTTCATACAATGAACCAAGCAAATAAATAAATACGTCAAGTTTATGTATGACAATACTAGACGGATACAATTAAAAATAGGTATAGGTGTCAACATTTTAGAGTCATAGCAGCTGACGATAAATTGAGGGAATCACAAATTATGGGGTTGGATTGTATTGCTTTGACCTAAAGAAGCTCTCATTAATAAGAGGGGGTCGATTAAAGTAAAACATGTTACAAGAGTAGGGTTACCAAACCAATATGGTGCTTGTTTAGGTTTCAATATATGTTGCTGAGATTATAATGTGATAGAAATACGTGGTGGATGTACGTGGTGGATGAGTGGTAATAGTTGTGGATCCCACGAATTGTAAGGAGATTATAATGAGGGCAAACAAGCACATGGTCTGATGTGATTAGAAAATATTTGATTTGATTTGATTTGATTTTTTTCCCAAAAAATGTAGTGCAGGATTGAACGAGTGATTATAAAGGATTTATGTTGTTGATCCCAAATAATAGGTAAGGGTTAGCTTGTTATTGTTGTTGCTTGTTCATCTAGACCACGTCGTATGTGTTCATTTGATATACAGTTTGTGCATCTCTAGATGTAGAGTGGATAGATCCAAGAGGTTAACTTTAAGGTCTAATTCTACTTTAGGGTGGATTAATTGCAATATATGATAAATATCAATCTCGTATCTTTATTTAGGGATAGTGAGGTCTTCCTTGTATTTCAATGTAGTATTTGCTATGGTAATAGATGCACAAAATGGCTTTATTATAGTGAAACATTTTCATTTGAATTTTATCCTCTTAGTAAAGAAGCCACAACAATAAAAGGAAAAATGTTGGCACCAGATACAGGAGTTAAGCTTACCGTTGTTAAGTATAACTTGAATCCCTAAAGGTGCTTGCTCCTGTATTGGTGCTGATTAAGTTAGCCGCTAAGAAGTCAGCACAGAAGCGTATACAAAGATAATACTCTTTAGGGATATAAGAAAGAAAAGTACACCTTCAAAGATGGTACTCATTAGGGATATAAAAAAATAGCCCAAGTAATTTTAGAATGGAAGTTTCTTTGATGGAACTGGAAAAGAACCAAAGGAGTTTCTCTAGACTGATCGTAAAGGTGAGATAATGAATCCTGTGTACATCCCCTGGAGAAAAAGTGTCAACTATTCAAAAGTTTAATGATGGGCACCATCTATACAGCTTTGTCTCTTATGTCTTCCAATGTACTACTCTCTCTTTCTTTGTTTTTGTAAAATTTCTCTCAATTGTTTCGAGCTCGATATATCCATTAACTGATAAAGGTTTGGTCATCTGAGGCAACAAATACTGGTTGTAGATGGTTCTGTACTACTTTATTCTCTTTTGATGTTGTAGATATGGACGTTATCGTCCTTGGCGGACTCCTTTAGATAAAAAACTCAAGGGGTGGCAAATAGCCTGGTGGCAGTATGCTCAACAATCTGTTCTTTCTGATGTTCGAAGGAGGTTGAGGAAAACTTCTTGGAAATATCTAGGAGAGCGTCTGTAAGTTTTTTATTTTTTTATGAAACAGTCAATTTCTTCTATTGGTATGCTGACAATTAGACATGGCATCATTGTTTTCTAAAATTGCAATCGCAATACGTGTTTTAGTGTTATGCATATCCAGTCTAGCACATTTTGTCAGATATGCACCATCCTTGCACCTTGAGTTGGCCTTCCTTTTCTCTCTCATTTTACTTGCTTTAATTTGGAATACCATTATCTCATACGTTATTTATCTAAATCAAAATCAATTTAGAACGAAACTCTTATCAAATGAGTTTCTTTTGAGGTGCGTAATTTAAATAAGTTAGCTGCATCATCTTGAATTTTGAATTGATATAATGGAGTGAGAAACTTTGGGTTGGGTAAATAATCGGAGCACAAGTGGTTGGAAGGTCACAACAAATGTCATGTAAGGAAAGGCGGAAGGAATTAGAAACAAGCACGAGGGAAGATAATCATCGTGTACAGAAACCATTATACATTTGTGTACTTGATGGTGTAGGATGAGAAAGTCATGTTTATTTGAGTTCATTTAGTAGATTTTTGAAATTTGCTTGATGTTGTGAAGCCTAAATTAGAATAGTGACCATATTATCTTGCTTGGTCAGAAATCGCGTCAAGATGTTTTTGTGTTCATGAATTTAGCTAGTCTAGACTAATCAATGCCAGTATTTATTTCCCAAGTGCATGTAATGCTATCAAGGCCCCCACAATTGTTCAAGAAGTGTCCATACCAATATATTTGTCAAACTACAAGGTTAAGCTCTTCAAGACCTGTCAATGCTCCTCGTATTATGTTGTACTATATCTTCCAAATTGATCCTTCTTAATCCCTTCCTCATAAATTTTTTTCCTGCCCCAGAACCTCATTCTCTTTCTTTCTTTTCAGCAGGTGATATATTAAATTTTGTTTCACTGCCTTGCATTAAATTGCATTCATTTCAATTAGTGTTCTACATATATTCATGCCATGTACACGACTGTGGGTTGATTATCAATTTGATCATATTTGACATCACGTGGTTGACATTTTGTCCTCCTCTGAAATGCAAATGTTCAAATTTTGAACTTTTGTGACAGGAATTGTCGCCGAAAATACGTGAGCTTGTATAGGATCAAGTTGAAATGCCTCAAACAGGATCAGGTGAGGACAATGCCATATTTACACGCACATACACACACCCCCACACGTACACTATAACGACCCAAAATTTAATAATTTAAATCGCTACATAAAGCTTACATTAAACATTTAATGGATTATAAATTATAATAGACAAAATTTTAAAAGTTTAGTATATTAAATTATAAGAAGATTTAAAAGATTTTCCATTCAATTTGGCCTCTTGTTTATCGAGAAATTTCTTTTTGTGAATGGACTCGCACTATTCATATATGGTAGTGGAATGGACAAAATCCTAGAAATGGTTGAACAAATTTCCTATATGAATATTCATTTTGCCAAGGCATGAAAAACTGTGAGGATATGTACAAAGCCTAAAAATCATAACTTCATGAAATCCGTGCATGCTATTATTTCCGGTAAGATAATTCAAAGATTGGCTGAATTCGTACCGATGTAAATTCTATTTTATTTCGCATAATTGACCATAGATAAAATTTTGGTTTCACCAACACAAAATAACACACATGGGAATTTTATAATAAATAAATCATGTCTCAATTTCTTAAATAAAAATTCATAGATATTAAAACTAAAGATAAGACTAGAAATTAAACTTTTAGGGCTTTTGTGAACCCCATTTTTGTCAAAAAAAAATAATATTTTTTTAAATAGTATATTGATGGAAAATGTGTGGTTAAAACATAAGAAAAAGTTTTAGGTTTACATGTAATATTGTTTTATTGAAGAATGTGTGGTTGAAATGGGACAACACTATTCAAGAATGCATTTTTTTTTTAAAAATGGAGCTCAAACAAGGGCTTAATCATGTTACATCGGATTAATTTATTGAGTCCCGTAAATCCTAGCACCGTTACACGAAATAATGGTGCAATCCCGAATAAAAGATTTAAAACATGTGTCAAAAATATCATGCCGTCATCATAAGTTTGGAAACCGGTAGGAGTTCAATAAATATTATATCTTTGGTATCGAATGACCATAACATACATATTATATCTTAAACTTCTATTAATACAATAATTTAACAGCATGAAATCATGTTCCAAAATTGAATCTAACAAGTTAGGATAACGAGGTGCGTGAAATACTTTTCCAAAAATTTATGTTATATGAAATTGACTTCCTGTTTTAAATTCCAATACCACACGTACAAGTATCTATAAATTCTAGAGTAAAAAGTAAGAACATTTTTAAACTATATAAAGTAGGAAGTATGTAATTTACCTTAAATTCCAACACTTTTCTCTCTCTACAGTCGTGTTCTTATGCATGTGCCTTCTCCTTTGATATACATATATAAATATATCACGATATGATCTAGTCTAACAAAGTGGGTGTGCAGTTGGGAAAACGTGTATGATGCCACAATTTTGATTAAACGATATATACATTTTTATCTCTTGAAACCAAAAGGAACTACTTTATCCCTTCAGTGGCATGTGGCCAAAGTGGGTGTGCAGTTGGGGAAACGTGTATGATGCCACAATTTTGATTAAACGATATATACATTTTTATCTCTTGAACCAAAAGGAACTACTTTATCCCTTTAGTGGCATGTGGCCACTACCAACAAACCCATTATATCTTTGCCACACGTCTTTATTTATTAAAATAAGTCTCAAATTAAACCTACTTCTCTCTTTATACCTAAACTACAGGTGGCTACCCTATACCAAATCACAATAAAAAAAGTAAATAACTTTATTAAAATCTTTCCTCAATCCAAGGAATGTAGAACGTGGCAGCCCATGGGAATTTTTAATTAATAATTAAGTCTAATACATTAACATTTCAAGGTACTAACTTGGACTTCGCTTATCCGTATAACTTTTTATCGAGCTTAAAATGCATGATTAAATATGAGCTATCCAACGAGCTCAAAATTGAAATACTTATCATTGCTATATCAATATCTAAATATTTGCCCAAATAAAATTGAATTTAATGCATATATCACTTTAGTTACCCAAATTTCTAGATCAGTTAGATTCTATTCTATGAAAATTTTTGGGGCTTTATAATTTCCCAGACTTAAAATTTTTTCTTACTCGAAAATTCATCTTGGCTAATTGAAGAGTTTTGGATATTTGGTTCTAAGCTCCTCTTCTTTCTTCCTAGTTGACTCGTCAAGTTCATGATTTAGCCATTAGATCTTGACCAGGGGAACTTCTCTATTTCTGAGTTGATGCACTTTTTTATCCAAAATTATCGTCGGGGTTTCTTCATATGATGAGTCTTTTTGTACCTTTAACGTTGATAACTGACTACATGATTGGGATCATGAATATATTTTCTAATCTTCGAAACATGGAACACATTATGCATTGCTGCGAGTTTAGGTGGTAAGGCAAGTCGGTAAGCTACAATACCAATCCTTTCCAGAAAGTTCCAATGAAACGTGGGCTCAACTTTCTCTTCTTACCAAATTTCAATATATCTTCATTGGTGTTGCTTTTAGAAAAAACTGTCACCTACTTGAAATTTCAAATCATTTTTTCTACCATTTGCATAGCTTTTTAATCTATCTTGTGCTGGCTTTATTCTGGTTCTAATCTTGTTAACGGCCTCAATTGCTCGTTCAATGATTTCAAGACTTAAAATTTCATTCTCTCTGACCTCATCCCAGTGGATATGGGATCTGTACTTCCTACCATAAAGAGTGTCACAGGGGGCCATGCATATAATGGCTTGAAAGCTATTGTTGTAAGAAAATTCCACCAATGGTATATGTGTCTCCTAACTATCGTCAAGATCCAAAACACATTCTCGCAACATTTCTTCAGGCTCCCCAAATTTCCAAAATAAAATGTAGCGTCTAGAACAATTCGATTCTATTCTATGAAAAATTTCGGGAATTTACACACAGAGAAACACACACACACACACACGTATATGACCAAGCGTATGTCTGTGCAGGTGGGTGTGTTTTATTTTGATTCAAATAAAGTTTATCTAAAGTTATATAATAAGAGGACAAGGTGTCCTGTAAAAAAATTCAGAAAAGTCAAATGTAATATCAAGAAACTGAAGAGCGCTCTATCACACTAAATATCCAATTGCAATGTATAGTATGGATCTGAGCTTTAGATAGGCAGTAAGATTGGAATGTTGACCTAAACAGGAGTTATTAGCTACCCTATGGGTTTATTGTTGAATGAAAAGAGTCCAAAAGGCAGTATGAAAGGAGCTAGGAAAGTGTAATCTCCATAGAATCATTGTGTCATCTACTAATGTGAGTAAGTGGCAGAGATTTTCTTGGAAGGTTGTATGGTGACATTTTTTTCACCTGAGCATGTTATGTTGACAGCTGACAATTTGAGCAGGCATGGAAGGATGTGTATAAATTGGTTCATGCTTCATGTGTAAAGAGATAGAGGTGGATATGAAGTTTCTGTAGAGTTGTGGAACTTTATAATCTTTGTATTTTGAGTGAAGATGGTGATGCCGGACTTAGTTTCTTCATTAAATCACTGTAAAGTCAACACCCTTTTCTTAGTATTAAATAGCCTTGGTGCTTTATTCTGTGACTTCTTTAAACGGAACAAATCGATTGAGTGCATAGATATCTTTCTAACACCTGTCATGTAAATAATATGATTTGCTCCTTCTTTGTGGGGTTTTAGTATATTTTGTAGTGACCTAGGTCCGTATAAGTGATATTTTGTAGTGACCTAGGTCCGTATAAGTGATATTAGAGCCAACTTCATAATGCTATCCACTTGGGCAATTTGGGATTGTGGAGTAGGCCATGAATTTGAAGTGGTGATGATGTGATATATTTAAGTTGTGATGTTTGTTACTGCCATCCCTCATTAGTTCTGCAGCAGTCATGTAAATGGAAGGATATCAGCTGGACATGCTTGTCACCATGGGCTTAAGCATTTTGGGCCAGTAGATCAGAATCCAGCATTTTGCCTGGGGTTATGATGAATCAGCTGAGTCCTTCAAGTGCAGACTTTGGCATATTCTAGTTACCCTTTATTTAGGAAATATATTTTGCAATAGAAAGTAACTTGGGAGCTCAAACTCTGTGCTGTAAGATACAGAAAACCAGACCTCTGAAGTATCCATATGAGAGCATATGCACGCAAATTGAATACAGAATGAGAAAAACATTTCCAAAATTGCATTTAAATGATAATTCCTTTCTAGAATAATACGAAGAGTATCTTGATAAAGCTTGTAATATCTCAATTATTTAATCCTCTCAAATCTATCCTGCCATTTGATCTAAACTAGGCATTCCATCTATAAACAGTTCGTTAAGATTGTTCTCTTTTTCAGATGATAAGCTCTAGTGCCAATGGTATTCATCCTTCCCATAATGCTGCCTCATCTCAATATCAGAGTGAACTGCTATTGCTGGCTGATGCCTGATGAGACTCCCCCCCCCCCCCACATTTTTTTCTTAAAGCTTTTTGTGAATGTTAGTCTCATATTTTCAGGATTTTCTAGTGAATTCACCCTCCAGCCAAGGAAGCAGTGCTGTAATTTTTGACAAGTCTCAGGAGGATAGTCGTCTTCCCAGCAAGCCCCGTGGATGGTTAAACTGGTTGTCCCGTGGGATGCTTGGTGCTGGTGGAACAGATGATTCTAGCCAATTTTCAGGTGTTATTTCCGATGACGTAATAAAGGTATACATTTCCCTTTGGGCCTTGGCTTTTATTAATGATGTCTGGAAGGGGTGTTGTATTTTGATAGTTTTGTTCTTTCTGAGAATCTTAATTTTATCTGTGCAGGATATTTATGAGGTGACAAAATTCCATCCTGCTCCTTCACTAAATGGCGACATTTCCGTGATGGATGAAGTTTTCTTCTCTTCAATCAAGTTCAACATTCGTGAAATTTATGCAACACTTCTGAGTGTGTAAGTGACTTATTTCTTCTACTTTGGAAAAAACTAGAACCTTAAAAACCCTTTAAGTCTAGAGTTGTGAAGTATTTGTTTATGTATTTTATGTGTTGAAAAAACAATACCTGTGCTGGTGTTGCTGTTACGAACAGCAAAGTAAAGGAGGCTACAGATTAAATTGTTTATGACAGATTTCCAGGAATGTGTTCTCGTGTGTCATAATACAAG